GCCCAAAACTGCAAAGCCTGGAGATCTCCATTCGTACAAGGTATCACCAAACTGTAACAGAGCCACAAACCAGGAAATTATTCAGTGTTAAAAGGAATGAATTACTGAGAAGACAACCACACTGAGGAATCTCAAACACACTGCTGACTGAGAAAAACTATACCCAAAAGAGTACGAACAACTTATATGAAGTTCTAGAACAAGAGAAATGATTGTCTGGTGCCACAGGCCAGAATAGTTACCCTGTGAGGATGCGCGTATTGACTGGGGAAGGGGCACAGGGAGCAGGGACTGTTTCAAATCTAGATCTTGGAAGAAGTTACGTGGGTGGAATGCATGCAGAAAAGTTCATTGAGCCGTGTATTTAAGCTTAGTGTGCTTGTCTGGGCGCAGTGGCACATACCTGTAATCCCAGCAACTCCCAAGGCTGATGGAAAGTTTGAGGCCAACCTCAGCAATTTTGCAAGATCTTATCAATTCAATCCCAAGTGCCAAAGAAAAAGATTTATGAGTTTTATGGATGCATGCTATACCTCAACTGTTAAAATGTTTAAAAACAAACACGGGCTGGGAGCAGTCGTGCATGCCTGTAACCCCAGCAGCTTGGAGGCTTGGACAGGAGGATCACAAATTCAAAGCCAGCCACAGCAACTAAGTGAGGCCCTAAGCGACTTAGGGAGACCCTGTCTCAAAACAAAAAAATGAAAAGGGCTGGGGATGTGGCTTAGTGGTTAAGCACCCCCTCCCCCTTTCAATCCCCAGTAACACACACACACACACACACACACACACACACACAGAGCAAGATTCAGCCTCTAGGGGAAGCCATGGGGCCAGGTGAAAAAGGAGAGGCTTTGGGGATGGGATCATTGAAGTCACCCAGTGACCAACCCCAAGAGATTTTTCTCAACAATCAAGACATGAAAACAAGGCAGGTGGTGTCCTCAGGAACAACAGAAGAAATACAAATACCTTTGGCTTCCGTCAGCCATATTTGGATATTCCGCATTATATACAATAGTTTTTCCTCTGAAAATTATGTACAGGAACTTTCATTAAGCATAACTCGGCTCCAATCTGCCTGTCCTAGACGGTGTGCACAAATGAGAATTAGCTGTGTTTATCAGCGTGGTCCTTGGAAAAGACTATCGGATAACCAGTAATATGTCAGGCAAGATCCAGATGGCTTTCAAACCAGCCTGCCGTCCACAAGTGGTTGTGTGTGAATAGAGAATTTTTCTCGATCACTAAACCCCAGTCATTGAAGGGGCAGAGGCTTCTGCCGTAGTCACGGACATTTCACTGGACACAGGTTGGTCTCTAAGCCACATCACCAGCCCATTTTTAACTTTTTAATTTAAAGACAGGGTCTCACTGAGTTGTTTAGGGCCTCACTAAGTTGCTGAGGCTAGCCTCGAACTTGTGATCCTCCTGCCTCAGCCTCCTGTGTTGCTGGGATCATAGGCAGGTGCCACCATGCCCAGCTTAGTCTCGTTTTCAACAAGTCTTTCATGCTAAGGAGGGTGGCAGGCATGCAAGGGACATTTGTTTGAACTCCAGGTCTGAGAGCTGCTCCTTATGAAATTCTGGCCTTGTGATGTAATGTTGTCCTCCGGTCCAGCCCTACTTCCCAGCTCTGTGTAGGGAGATGTGAGAAGGCGCTTGGACTCCTCCAAACCCTCCCAAGTAGGTCCTTTATCTATGTTCTGAATTTTCTTCCACAGATAAGGTTACCTGTCCCCTTAAAGCTTTTCTTAAAAAAGACAAAAGAGGCTTGGCCAGTCCCCATACACTCTCTTCTTCTATTCCTCCTCGGTGGCAGAACTCCAAATGGAAGTCCCCCAGGGAAAAGTCAGGACCCCAGGCCCTTCTGTCCTCTGGGATAATGCCAGGGCAGTCACTGGGCAGGAGCCTCCCTTGGTTCCGACCCTGGCTTACTCCAGAACTGCCCACTTACCCCAGGGCATGAGCTCACCATAAAAGAGCACGGGTCTTTATGGCCTTCAAAACTGTAAAAGTCATGAAAAACAGAAATCTGAGAAATTGTCACAGCCACGGTCAGCCTCGAGGGACATGACAACTCAGTGTGATGCTGTAGCCTGGATGAGATTCTGGAAAGAAACAAGCCATTGGTTAAAAAACTAAGGAAATCTTGCCAGGCACGGAGGTGCACCCACCTGCAATCCCAAAGACTTGGGAAGCTGAGGCAGGAGGACTGCAAGTTTGAAGCCAGACTCAGCAAGTTAAACTTTGTGTCAAAATTTAAAAACAAAAAGGGTTGGGGATGTAGCTCAGTGGTAATGTACCCCTGGGTTCAATCCCCAGGACTTAAATAAATAAATAAAAATTTTAAAAAATAGAAACTAAGGAAATCTGAATAAAGTATGAACTAACTTTATTTAGTGAAAATGTATTAATATTGGTTCATTAATTGAATGTTGGTTTATTGATATGTACATCTCCATATATATAAGATGTTAATAAGGGGCTGGGGTTGTGGCTCAGTAGCAGAGTGCTTGCCTGACATATGTGAGGCACTGGGTTCAATCCTCAGCACCACATAATAAATAAATGTATTAAATTTTTTTTAAAAATGTTCATAATAAGGGAATTGAGTGTGGATTATAAGGAACCTTAAAAAGTTTTTTAAAAAAAAAAAACTTTTTAAAAAATATTTTTTTAGTTATTGTTGGACCTTTATTTTATTTATTTGTATGTGGTGCTGAGACTCGAACCCAGTGCCTCACACATGCTAGTCCAGTGCTCTACCACTGAGCTATATCCCCAGCCCTTAATTTTTTCTTAATGTAAAACAGTTCTAAAAACTAAAGTATTTAAAAAAAAAAAAAAACATGAGTCTTATAAATGCAGGCATACATTCCAAAGACTATCATGATTTGCTTCTCTGGAGAGGACTTTTGACTCTGGCCAGTCCTTTCTGTGACCAAAAGCTTCAGGGACTTTCTGAATACCCCATTGCCCCTCTCCTGCCTGGCAACAGAAGGTCCTCACCCAACCTACTTTCTTTCCATTCACAGAAGGGATACTCTCCGCAAGCCAGATTTCATAGAGAAAATGAGAAGCAGAGACGAAATGGCTCAGGTAAGTCAGACCTGCCTAGATCTCCCCTGGGGGGACCCGGCCCCGCCCTCTCCTCCTGCTCCACATCCCTCAGCCTCAGCTGTGTTCAATCTATCTGGATTCAAATCCACTACAAACGAGTTCTGTGGTCTCGGTGCTCCCCATCTCTGTAAGGGCCATAACCGTAGTGTGATCAAAGAGCCATTGAAGAGATTACATGAGACGGACTGTAAAATGGATATCATTTCATCTCTGAAGACAGGCGATGGGACAGTGAGTGTCCAAGGTCTGTCATGGTGACTGGCATCCCTGATGGCCAGTCATTGACCAGCCTAGACAATCATAAGAACTTCAAAGATCAGTGTCACCTTGGGATCCTGGACGGTGTCTGAGGAGCAGAGAAATACATGGACCTTTGAATTAGAGCAGCAGGTGGGTCTGAACAGTGGCCAAGGACCAGTCAAAGGGGACTTGGCCATCAAGTGATCAGCTGACAGGTACCAAGGCTAGAAAGGGCACAGAAGCAGAGGGAGGTGGAACTGAACTGTGTGCCTGAGATGCCAAAGCCAGCTCACAATCCGCCCCCACCCACCCCCCTACACACACAGCTTTGAACTGAGGCCATTCAGCACCCTGGACAGCTCTGGGGGGGTCTATAGCTTTCAGGGGCACAAGTTTCAGGGTCCCACAATTGGGTGGGTTCTTGGAAGGGCAAGAATGGTTAAGGCACCTCAGCTCTCTGAATCTCAATTTCCTCATCTCTAAGTTGCAAGTAATACCTACCCTTCAGGACAGTCCTGAAGAGTAAATGAGATTAACAGCAGAGCAGATGCCTGGGGTCAGACCATCAGAATTCGAATCTCAGCTCCAGCTATGTGACTTCAGAGAAGTGGCTTAACCTCTCTGGGCCTCACTTTCTTCTCATCGGTGTAATTAGAATGCTATTAGACCCTATTTCATGGTGTTATGGAGAGTAAATGAAACCAGACAGGCGCACACAATTGACATTCATTTTTGTTTTAGAAGAAACAGCACAGCACCTGACACAAAGTAAATAATCAAAATTGTCAGCTTCTTACATGTTCTGAAACCACCTGGTTGACTTTGCCTACCCACTTCAGACTTGGGACTTTTTTGTGGGGGTGAGGTAAGTACCAGGGATTGAATTCAGGGGCACTCGACCACTGAGCCACATCCCCAGCCCTATTTTGTATTTTACTTAGAGATAGGGTCTCACCGCGTTGCTTAGCGCCTCACCATTGCTGAGAATTGGCTTTGAACTAGGGATCCTCCTGCCTCAGCCTCCCGAGCTGCTAGGATTACAAGCTTGCACCACCGCGCTCGGCTTGGGGCATTTTTTTAACAAACGCCGTTGGTTATGTGCTAGCCACTCTTCTAAGTCCTTTCTAGGTACCCAAACTGCACCAGTTAACCTTACAACCCTGTGACAGAAGTACTATGTGGTCGACCCCATTTTCCAGATGAAGAAATTGAGGCTCTTGTGCGGAGAGGTTGCTAAATGGGGAGGCCACACAGGTATTAACTAGTGGGACCTGAGCCCAGGTGTGGCGTTTTGGGATCCCACACCTGCGCGTAGCTTTCCATGACGCTGGTGGCCATCCAGAGTGGAAGAGTAGGCGGCGGGCCGGGACTCGGTGTTCTTCCGGGGATGCTGGAACCGAGCCTGGGAGTCCTCCCTACAGACGCTCACGCGCGCCGCCTCATACCTGGGCCAGGATACCTGTTTGTGTCCCTGTCGCCTCCCTCCCTGTTGGCGTCTCCATGCCTGCCCCTCCGGCCGCCGCCGTAACCAGATCCCCGGCGGGGTTTGGGCTGCTGGCTCGCGTCACGGTGGCGGAGTCGCTCGCGCTCCAGGCTGCGCAGCGGCGGTGCGGGATCTGCAGCGGGGCGCGCGGGGCATGGCGCAGAGGCTGGGCGAATGGGCACGGGGGCCCGCCGAGGCCACCGGGCTGTACCGGGCGGTGCTGCTCAGGTCCGGTAAGTGGGGACCACGCCTCGCCGCCCCTGATCTCCAAAGCTGGAGGAGCGAGCGACAGGCGTGAGGCGCGCAGCCCCCCGGGCAACCCTTGGCGGAGCGCGTCTGTCCTCCATCAATGCCCTGCGCCCTCCCTCCCTTCCCTTCCGTCATTCCTGTCAATTACTTTTTTATCCTTCCCCCTTTTCCTCTTTTCTTCCTACATTCAGATCCTTTTGGGGGATCTGTCCTTAGATAGATTGCTTTTTTTTTTTTCACAATATCTGAGAACACACGCGCGCGCACACTCACGCACACACGCACGCACATACCCACTCTCCGTTTCTCGACTGCAAAAGTCCTGCGAGGCTCTGCTCCTGGCTGATCTAGGCGACAGACTCCGCCCGCGCACCGAGGCGTCGGACCGCGTGGGAGATGTGGGGCAGGGATGCGGGAAACGGGCCCCGCGAGAGCCGCCCGCAGCGGAGTGCCGAGCGCTTGGGCGAGGGACGGTCACTGTGCCATGGGCCATTGCACGAGGGGGAGGAGGAGAGCAAGTTACAGGCAGGTGAGGAACCGTTTCTTCTATTCGTGTGCGTGCAGCGATTCGGAAGGAAACTCGGTGGTTTTATTTTTCCTAGGATGGGGATTGGGTAACAGGTGGTTTGTCTTTGCAGTAAGCATGTATTAATTTTCTACTCGGGACAGTAAGAGTTTTGGGTTTTGTTTTGTTTTTTTAATTCGGTAAATGAAGTAAGCGAATGTATACTCAGTGTCAAAATAATTTAGAAAAACATGGGGATGTAGGAAAGTGGGGCGCAGTAAACGTTTGTGGGGTTTTCTTCCAAATACGGGCTTGGAGAAACGTTTGGGGAAAATGGAGATCGGCCTCGGACTGGAGTCCCTGCCACTGGGGATAAGTGATTGCAAAGTGTCAGGGAACCTGGGCTCACGGGCCAGCTGCACTCTGCGTTGGGCAAAGAGTCCTGCCCGCCCGCAGAGCCAGGAGGCAAAGGCGCGAGGAGGCGCGTCCGCTGCTGGGCCAGCAGGGTCCCCTGCGCTGAGTGCCCTGGGACTCCCTGCTTTTCTTCCCAAGACCCGCCTTGCCCCGGGGGCGGGGGAGCCCGCCGCCCAGTAGTGATTGGAAACCTTGGAACAAGGCTTCTCTTAAGTCCGAAAACAAGAACTGGCCAAGACTCAAGGCCCGGCGGCGCCTTCCTGGGGGAGGCGGGCAGAAAGGGAGGAGCCCTGAGATCAGACGAATCTGATTTCAAATCCCGGCTCGGCTGATGACTGCGCAATGCCCGCTGCCTAAGTGTCCCCACCCAGTTCTTGTCTTCTCACCAAGTTGGCAGAGGTGGCAGGTCCCAATCCGAAGACCCTGGGCTTCCTCTGGGGCTTCCCCTGGACCTGGAGCACCAGGGGCGAGCCTCTTTTGAGCTTTCAAACCATCCAGAAGAATAGACAAGTCAGAGTCGGTCCGGGGAGGGGAGGGGGCGCGACCTGCTGGTCCCCTAGCTATACCACACAGGGTTACAAGCCAGGACGCGGGTCAGAGGCTTCCCTGAAGGAGTGAGCGCCCCGTGATTGGAGCACTTACTATTAGAAGTTCATTGTGGCATTTAATCTTCACGACTCTGTTAGGACACAGGTTGTCATTTCCATTTAGTAGATGAGTGGACTGAGGCCAGAGCTTGAACAGCTTTGGAGGAAGAGACCTTCCACACCTTCTATGGGCTACAAAGCATTTTTTTTTTTTTTTTCTTATACCGAGGATTGAACCCAGGGACGTCTAACCACTGAGCCACATCCCCAGCCCTGTTTTATATTGTATTCAGAGACAGGGCCTTGCTGAGTTGCTTAGGGCCTCTCTAAGTTGCTGAGGCTGGCTTTGAACTCGGGATCCTTCTGCCTCAGCCTCCCAAGCCACTGGGATGACAGGCCCGTGCAACACTTTCAAACTTAAATTCATCTATGCCAAAGCCCACACATCCTCAGAGAACAGTAACAATGATGGTCACTTGTTATTGCCACAGAATCTCTACCCAGTGCCATACACTGGTTATCTCACCAACTGTTTATTCATTTATTCATTCCACTAAGGGTTAGCAGCCTCTGCTCTGCACTAGGTTTTAAGCAAGGCACGGGGATATCAATATCAATACGATGGGCATGTCTGTCAGTTCAGGGAGGTGAGTCATGTTATGCTCTATTGGACACACAAGGAAATGGAAGCTGGGATGGCAACATGACTTGTCTAAGGTCACATAGCTAATTGGGGTAAAGCTGAGATTCAAAGCTAGGGCTGAGGTGCATGCCTGTAATCCTAGGGGCTGGGGAGGCTGAGGCAGGAGGATTGAGGGTTCAAAGCCAGCCTAAGCAAATTATTGAGGCCCTAAGCAACTTAGAAAGACCCAGTCTCTAAATAAAAAATAAAAAGGGCTGGGGATGCGGCTCCGTGGTTAAGTGCCCCCTGGGCTCAATTCCCAGCATCAAAAATTTAAAAAAAAAAAAAATTCCAAAGCTAAGGCTAGGCACCTCTAGAACCATTTCCCTGGGTCTCTCACATGGAAGAATGGGACCAACTTGGCCATTTAGTGGAGGGGGGAGCAGCTCTCTTTCCTTTCTGAAGTCCCCAAAGAGGAAAGAACAGAATTAAACCCAAGAGGGTGGCTGTTTTCAAGTACAGTGGCCTCAATTCGTGCATCAAATGATGTTGCACTTTGGGGAAAACGTTCATCCCAAATTATTTCAAAATAGCTTCTTATTATGAAATGAAAACATGATTCCATAACTGTCTGGGGAAATTGAGAATAAAACAGGGGGAAACGTAACCCATGATCCCACTAACCCCAAGCAGTCACGGGTAACTTTTGGGGATATCTCCTTCCATTCTTTGCTAATCATCTTTTGTGTGTTTGGTTTACACTGTTCAGATTGTTGGGACTCTAGTCTTTAATCCTATTTTTTTTTCACTTGAACAAAAATCTTTAATGCTCTTATATGGGTTATCAAAAAAAAAAAAAAAAACTGCTTCTACTTAGGCAAATGCCCAAGTCTAGGCAGGCTTTATACAAAGGGCCTTCCATACCCTGTGTTCTTTATTCCTCAAAAGAACCTCTGCTCCTAGGCTGGGCATGATGGCACACACCTGTAATCCCAGCAGCTTGGGAGGCTGAGGCAGGAGGATTGCAAGTTCAAAGCCAGCCTCAGCAACTTAGCAAGGACCTAAGCAAATCAGAGAGTCCCTGTCTCTAAATAAAATACAAAACAGGGTTGGGGATGTGGCTCAGTGGTGAAGCACCCCTGGGTTCAATCCCCAGTACCAAAAAAAGGTTAAAAATCTGCCCAGTTCAGAGATGAAGAAACAAGGTCTCTGAGCTGTCCAGCCATGGAGCCGGGATCAGTATCTCGGTTGACACCAGGACCCCTGCTCTTAACCATTGAACTGGAAGAGTCACCTCTGTGGAATAAGTCCCTTCTGGAAAGCTATGCAGTCCTTGAGTAAAAGTCCATCTGAGGTGTCTTACCTACACCCCACCCGGAGCTCAGGCCAGGGTCCTGCTGGGGAGGAGAGTATCTCTCTGCACCATGCGCCAAAGGGCACAGCCCCCAGCCCTGCTTCTGCCAGTTAAATGTGAACTTCAGAAAAACATTTTTTTTTGGCCATTAATATTTCCTAACTGCTTTTAAAAAATTATTTGTTCTTTTTAGTTATCCATGATAGTATGAGTGAATTTTGACATAGAATATACACATGGAGTCTAACTTCCCATTCTTGTGGTTGGACATGATTCAGAGTTTCCCTGGTTATGCGTTCATATATGAACACAGGAAAGTTCTGTCCCATTCACTCCACTGTCTTTCCTATTCCCATCCCTCTCCCTTCCATTCATCCCCTTCTGTCTAATACAATGAGCTTCTATTCTCCTTCCCTGTCCCTTATGGTGTATTAGCATCTACATATCAGATAGAACATTTTGCCTTTGTCTTTTGGGGGGATTGGCTTATTTCACTTAGCATTATAGTCTCCAGTTCCATCCAATTACCAGCATATGCCATAATTTCATTCTTCTTTATGGCTGAATAATATTCTATTGTGTATATATACACTTTCTTTATCCATTCATCTGTTGAAGGGCACCTAGGGCAGTTCCATAGCTTAACTATTGTGCATTGAGCTGCTATAAACATTGATGTGGCTGTGTCACTGTAGTATGCTCATTTTAAGTCCTTCGGGTATATTCCCAGTTGGAATAACATTTTCATGTAAGCATGTTCCAAATATTGCATGGGATACAGTTAAAATAAAAGATTATTTATTGCTTATTCAAAATTCAAATTTAACTAAAGTACTGCATTTTTATCTGCATCATCTGGCAACTACAGTCAGGAATTCTGGAAGTTTGCTTGGTTTGACAAGCTGTGGTCAGCCCAGGTTCCCCTCTACACACACAAACACACACATACACACATACACTCCAACACATATCCCTCTGCCTATCCCTAGATCCACTACTCTGTTTTTATCTGGCTACAAGCAAATTAAAATGTACATGGAGCCAAGCATGGTGGCACACACCTGTAATCCCAGCAGCTCAGGAGGCTGAGGCAGGAGGATCGTGAGTTCAAAGCCAGCCTCAGCAACAGTGAGGCCCTAAGCAACTCAGTGAGACTCTGTCTCTAAATAAAATACAAAATAGGGCTGGGGATGCAGCTCAGTGATCGAATGCTTCTGTGTTCAATTCCCGGTACCCTCCTAAAAATGTACATGAGGTGGGGGACAACCCAGAGTCCTTTTGCACCTTTGAAATCAAATTAGTTAGCCTAATCCCAGCTGGGTTGAGGACTAGCTTTCTCAAAAAGGACTCTTGGTTCTTCCCCTCCCGCCCCCCTCTCCTGTGTTCACGCTTGAAGTCCCTGCTCTGGGTTAAATGCTTCCCAGTTCAAACTTGTTGTACTGGGGACTCAGGGTCCTTTAATAATCTCTCCACAGATCTCATGACAAGTTTTTCTGCCAATA